CCCGCCCGCGCAGCTCGGATGCTGTGGGCCGCAGTGCCAGTGCCGCCGCACCCCTCTGCCGGTGAGGACGCGCCGCGGACCCCGAGCTCCAGTCGCAGAGGCGCCACCCCGCAGTGCCGCTGAGCGCCGCGCGCGTCCGCAGTCTCGTCGCGCCCGACCCGAGCTGTTCGGCCAGCGCGCCGCGGGAGCTGCAGTGGTAGTAGTACTTAGGGTGACAGTCTGCTGCACTACAGGGGAATACGACATAGGTGGGTATTTAGAATGAGAAAATTACGGAAGGGGGGGGGATATTGGTAACAATACTAGACGGACCGACACGTCTGGTGCCTGAGTCCGCCTGAGCTCTGCTGCCTCTAGTTTACACGCTCAATATTCCCTGCATCTCCCAACCTCCTGTCTTTCAATAGTTCGACCTCACGAAGTGAGATATTCTTGTAAGGGTACAGGAAAATTTTCAATCGTGCGAGTTGTAAAGTTACAAATTAAAAATCGAAAAATTTCAAGCACTACACGGTGTTATCACCGTTCTATCTTCCTGTAATTTGCTGGATGTAGGCGTGCCTGCGAGCTTGCCTGTCGTCGCTCACTGAGGCCCCTTATGGAACGCCGTGCGACTATGCAACCCGTCCGCACGCCTGCATCACTGTGTAACCAGAAGAAAGAACGGCGCTGACGGACCACCCTTTATGTATTGACATGAAATTAATTAAAAGCAAGAATGGGCTGATGGAAATTTACAAGACATTTTACATAAGTCGGAAAGAAAAATATGTTGTTAATTTACGAAGATATTTTTCAGTGAGGAGAAGGAACGGGTTGGGCAGGACTTTTTTTTTTCTTAAGATCTGTCTCCTGCTGGAGAGGCATGTACCCTGATGGGATGGGGTGATATGACAAAGCCATATTCGCCCTCTTTGCGGTGTCTTGTCAAAAGAGGGATAGAATTGAGCCCAAAGGGTTTGCATTGAATATCCCGAACGGTCCCAAGTCCTAACATTTCGGTCTTCACGGCTTAAAACTACCGTCATCTTTGGAAAGCCGTTGAGACACAAAGGTTGATACCGTTCTGATTATTCAATAAACCATAAACACTAGGGGAAGTTTCCTGTTCAAAGTTTCAGTGAGACCATTTCAACCTGCACGGTCAAAGCAAGGTCGTTTCGCCTCATCCCATTTGAGTGATATTCTCGATTGTTACTGAATTTTAGATACAATTTATCCACTGCACTGTTAAAAGTTCTGTGCCTACAAACAGAATCCATGCAGATCGTCCTCTACTTCCATACTACGGTCAAAATCTGTTGGACTGGTATTTTTGAGGGACAGAAAGGCTCGACCGTATTTGAAAGGTTTGAAAAGAAATTTCCTTAAGGAGAAGGTACAGCCCAGCCGACAGAATCACATTGTTCAAAAAGTTACCAGACCATTCTCGGTAGTGATTACACTGGAAACAAAAGTATGTCCTCGCTTTTATTGTTTGTTTTTTTAATCTATTTGATTGTGACAACAGACGAACTTTCCATGAGAAGAAGGCGTAAAAGTACAAAATGGAGAAGAGAACAATTTATTTTAAAAATTTCGTACCACATTTCTCCTGCACGAGACACGAAAAGAATAAGCTATCTATCGTTTGTAAATCTTTAAATAGTTAACAATACTATCTAGGTAAACCAACACCGAGCGGTGTGGAACTGACCAGGAAAATGTACACATATTTATTGTGTAGAGACAATAATTGTTTCAGATTGTGTGTGATAATGTGTGTGATTGTTTCAGTTTTTGTGTGATTGTGTGTGATTGTTTCAGACTGCGAATGCTTGTGTGTATGAGTGTTTCTGATTGTGTGCGATTTTCTCTGATAGTTTTAGATTGTAGGATAAATATTGTGACATATTTTGCAACATTGTGTGAGATTGTGACTTAATTGTGCCGTGATTGTGTGTGATAGGGTTCGATTGTTTCATGATTGTTTCTGAATAATGTTTTTCCCGATGTACCGGGTGATTCAGAGAAGACGCAGGTGCGGGCGGGTTTGCCTACTCTACGGGCTATGGCGCCTTACGGGCAGAGCGGGTAGGTAAACCCGCCCGCACCTGCGTCTTCTCTGTATCACCCGGTACACACATTGTGTCCAGTTCCACACCCCTCGTTCACCACTCATAGACCTGGTAGTGTAGTCGGAACGCAGTTACCAAAGCAATACATTACTTTCTCCATTTTTTATCGTTTGTTCTTCAGATATTTTCTAAATTCATAGCAATAAAGGAATTCAACTTTGTTAACTTTGGTAGAACCAAATTTCACGCACTGCAAAATGCTTGCAAAGAATAGGTTCGTATTGCAAACTATTTTCTTTGCAGCTTGCAAAGAATTTTCAGGCATCGTAATACAAACTAGTTCTTCGCAAGCTTGCAAACTATTTCTTTGCAATGCAAACACATTGTTTGCAAGGATTCTGCCAGCTTGCAAAGAACTCCTTTGCAATACGAACTAATTCTTTGCAATACAAAGCTCACAAATTCTTTGCAACGTTGCAAAGAATATAGTTTGCAAGCATTTTACAGTGCGAGAGCGGGAGAGACTCGTTTAGTAGGTTTGTTTGGGAGCCAGTCTGAACAAGAGTTGGAGGGAAGAGGGGTTAATTTGCTTATATACGCAGAACTTTTCGTGTGTCTTTACCTTGCAATATACCAGCAATAAACTGGAGAAAAATAAATGGGGAATGTTTTGGTCGGGTGTGAAGCGCAGTACGCTTTGAAAATTGATTGCTAAGCTGCTGGCGCACACATGTAGCTCTGGCGTGGAGCGCTCCCACCGGACGCGATCAGGTTGCGCCGTACACCTATGGATTTGGCAGCGTTTCGGCCTGATGGTGCTTTCTATGTCAAATGCTATAATCCGCCTTGTAAATAAATAACAGACAATCATGTGGAGATTGAGTGACGCAAGAGAGTTTAAAATTCCAACATCAAATGGGTTGTTCAAGGGAAGTTAAAAAAAAAAAAAAAAAAAAAAAAAAAAATTAGCGTGTACATTAAGCAGACCTGACCTTCAAGCAAACGGAGTTGCTATTGCTCCATCTTGATTCGCTGACAAAACTGTCGAAGTGGGCAGTGAGTGGCTCGGCCTGTCGGTGGCGTTTGTAAAAGTCACAATGATTTTTAGCACTAACTCCCACATTTTAAATCACAACGAAACACACACGCCCCCCCCCCTCCCCCTTCTTTTCTCCCTGCTCTTTTCCTCCCCCTTTCCCCCATTCCACTAATCCGTCTGACGTTATTGGGAGGGAGAGGTAGATTAACATCCAGAATAACCATCACCATAAAAGTAGGGGAAACGGTGGGGGAAGAGGGACAGGGGTCATTCTGCAACAGACGGACGCTCCGCGATGCTACTGATCGGTAGCAACAACAATTATGACCCGTGACACGAATTTCTACCGGCAAGCTGTTTTCCAAAGAGGACGTTATCGTAATTTGCGTGTCCTCATTAGACCCACGTAAATGCAAGCTGGGTCGAGTTACCACCACTTTTTAATTCAGAGGCCAATGGGCTAATTTCTTTTTTAATCTAAACAGGTGCAGTAGTTGGCACGACGCCACTAATCTTTGCAAAGGATTTTTACTCTTAGCAGTTACCGCGTATGAAATAAAAATGAAAGATCTGATAAGATCTGTTAACACTGTTTTAAAAAGAAACTTTAGTTGCGGGCATCATTTTACGGACCGCAGAGAGGGTGTCGTTCTCTTTTGTTTCACCCAGCTCCTCTCCTGGGGACTTAGAAAAATATTTTAAGCACATGTTGGTTTTGTGGTCTCGCCCTCTCCCTCCCCGACCTGTGTAGCGTCAGCGTCTGCCGTCCTCCCGGATTCTGGAGACATTAAGGCAAGGGCGCGTTTCATGGTCTCTGGCTTTTTTACATCCTAAATGTATATAGAGGGACAATTTTGTTCCTAAACAAGGGCAACGTTTTCGTGTGGAAGGTTTTAAACAATTTGTCTAGTTTTAGTTACAAAATTGCATCCAGTCTGAACCTAAAACAAGGAGGAGGGATTTTCCGGAGCATTTTTCTTATTTTCTGATGAGACATCTTCAAAAAAAAGTTTTCACCATATTAGTTTTTTCAAAGTTTTCCCTTTAATTTCCTCAAGCACGCATTGTTTAAACCGCGCATATGTGTCTACACCGGCGCACTCCCTACTGTTGTGAGCGGCCCTTGCCTGCTCCCTAATTGCAGTATCTGCCACATGGTTAGCTCGGCATTCGGGAGTGCTAATGCTCATCAGGACTCTGCTCGGCTCCGGGCCCTCTGGTCTGCGGACCAACGACCCACGGGCGGCAACCGCTCCAGTGGCAGCCGCGACGGCGCGACCAGTGGGGCCAGGGCCCAGTGGGGCCAGGGCCCAGTGGGGCCAGGGCCCGCGGCCCGGAGGGGCCGCCCTGCCCCCCACGGCCCCCAGCTTCACTTTCGCCCCCTTCTCCACCCTACCCCGCGACACCCTCCCCTTCTTAGGCCCCCATCTAAACCCCACCCCACAGTTGCAGCTGCTCTTCACGACGAGTGGGAGCGCGGTCCTCGCTTAGCCAACTTTCGGTAGCGCGGCGGGCGTGGTGTGGTGTGGCGGGGGTGATGGTGAGCGATGCGGGAAGGCGGGGGACGGTAGGGGGCACCGCAGCAGTGTGGTCGTGGCTATGCGACGCGACGTTAGTGATCTGCTGTGCGACCGGACGGTGAGCGAGTTCTACCACCAGCGGCAAGGTGGAACCCAAACAACAACAAAAGGACCCCGGCGGTAACGCGGTATACTACTTACTCAAGCAAAAAGTACGGAAGCAGAGGATTTGCTCAAAGTTGTGTCGTCTGCTCCACCTCCTCCCCGTGGCAGGACTGCGGTAGATCCGTCTCAATCATCTTTGGGTGGGTTTGAGTACGGAGTTGAGTACACTGTAAACAAAACAAAAAATCCTCGTAAATTTACAACAGGTTTTGAATTATTTACTCGCAGTTTTGTGTTGTGCATTTGTTCAATCTTCCTTGTCGATCAATTCAAAGCAGTCAGATACGAAATGTACGAAATGCCAACATCGGTGTTGGCATATTGCTGTTACCGAAAGCAACTGTGTGTGACCGAAACCTCTATGTTCTCGCCGCGGTATGCATGGCCGTGAGGTCTGCCTGGATCGGCCTCACTACGCGAGCGCTGCAGAGGGAAAGGGACGGCGCTCCCCAATCGCTCCAATGAGATGAAGAGAGCCGTACTATGCAACAAACGCCAATGCCTGCTTTGCATTCCGTTTGTCCGCCCCTTTCCGCGTCTCTTCATACCTAATTCTTTGAACTCCGCCAGCACATGGAAATCAACAACATCAATTACTTTGCCACGAAAGATACAGTATTGGATGTTAACGAGTTCTGTGGTTTTGTGTGAATACGGCGACGCGTCGGAAAATCAAAAGAGAAGTTATTTGAAACAATAACGTAATGCAGATGCTCGCTGGTAAATAAGCGTGCAAATATTGCACACCTAAGTGGGTAACTCATAGCGCCAATGCATAGGGATTAACTGCACTCCACACTGCGTAGATGCAAATATTTAACATTTTTTTTGATCGAAACGTTCACGAAATGTCTAATGTTTGCACATCAATTGACGTCTAGTTCAGTTCGGCATCGTGAAGTGTTTATTTTTTGCACACTTGAAATTGCACTACTGCACGTCATTTTGTGTAATGCTTTCGAAATATGTTTTACTTTTACCAGTGCTCCAATGTTTTGTAATGTGTAGAAGTAAACATAAGGTAGATGTACGGTTCGGAGACTTTTTCTCCTCGTAGACTCAAGAATGTTTTATTTTTGTCTTGTGCAACCACTTTCCACACTAACGCTGTTGTGGTGCGACTCCCCATCCGCTCTCCTCCCTCCCTCAACGACCCGTCCTGGACCCGCCGTGCTCCTCGCAGGCAGGCTTTAGGCTTGCACGCAAATAATTCCTAACTCCCCCTTGATTGCGCCGAGCCCCCAAGTTTGGGGGGAGGCGGCACGTTCAAGCCCGTGCGGTGGTGTTGTGGGGACGAGACGACGAGACGGATTTGTTTTTAGGGTTTGGCGTGGCGTGGCGTGGTGCGGCTACTGCGTGACAATCTGGGGAACAAGCCGCGAGTTGGCGAAGGAGTGGCTGGGAGGGGAGGGACATGGATACGTTGTGAAGCAGCACGTCCGCGCCCCGCTCTGCGCCGACGCTCGCCCCAAACAACAAGATCGGAGCGTGTCCTTGCGTACGTGCGGCAGTGCTGTATGGCGGGCGGGATGAGCCCTGCGTACGCATTCGGCCGAAAAGAAGTGGGAGGGGGATGGGGATGAACTCTGTGTGAGCTTGGTCCAGCCGAAGCATGAGTTGTGGGGGAATACTAGACTGAACTCTTTGAGCGGCTTGGTCCGGGTAAAGCCTGAAAAGTTAACGGAGCGCTGCACTACTCGTTGACCCTCCAAATCTAACCAAGTCGACTGTGCACTGGAAATGCAAGTGTGTGAATGTCGCTCACTTGCAGGTGAGCGACATTTCTTTCGTACACTTGAGGGGGTAAACGTGTGAATTCTTTCACACCTTTACCCCCCTAAGTGTACGAATGGAATGTCGCTCACCTGCAGGTGAGCGACATTCACACACTTGCATTTCCAGTGTGATTGGAAAATTCAATTGGTTTCGATAACTAAAAAAAGATCGGTACATTTTAATCCTTCCCTTTTGTACACATACCGTTGTGTACATCGTAATAAATTTATGACGATGCACAATTTAAGAGATGTTTCCTTCTCTAGCCCAGGCTCGACAAACTCATAGATTACTCATGCGGCCTTCTGGTGTGCGTAGTAGTGGCATGAACCCTGACTGCGAATGCAGTGCGATACGGTCTGACCAGAAAAAAAAAACTAAAAAAAAACAGAGTAACAAAAAGACTTTTCCAGGCGCGCTTCTCTGTGGACCTAAAAAAACGGGGCACCCCCACCTCCCTCATGGCGACCAGAAGCATTACGCTTGTGGCATGGCGTGGTGCTATGCGTGGTGGCCAGCCCCTCCCACTCCCCGCCTCGCCCAGCCCCACCCCGCCCCCTCGCCTAGGCGGGGGATCTTGGCACCAGCCTCCCTAGTATACTTCCTCACCCCCCGTAGCAACTCACGGGCCCCACCACCACCAGGGGGGCGGTCGGACCCACCCCAACCCAACCTCCAGGGTACTCCTATATACTGAGCCCGCCCCTCTCCCCCTCCTCCTGCCTGTACACTGCCAAAAAGACAAGTCCGGGGGCGGGAAGGATAGGGGGGGCGTGCGGGATGTTGGGAAGCAGTAGAACACTGTGGGAAGACTTGCAAACGGTTGGGGCTGCTTTGTAGTTTGCGAACCAATTATTGCGAACGATTTCCTCTGTAATACTAGAGGAAATCTGCCGCAACTTTGAATACATTCCGTCGCTGGTATACGAAGCACTCAAACAACTTCGAAGAAATTCCTTCGCATGCTTTTCGGAAGCATCCCAAAATTCTTCGCAAAGGTTTTATCATGGCAGCATGCTCGTGGGCGCCGCGTGCATGCGGAGCTCGGCTGTTCGCAAAACTCTCACGACTTCCTCGTCTCGCTCTGCGGGGGCCAGCAGGTGTGGGCCACTGTCGGGCTGGCCCACCCGCGCCACGGGCGCCCGCGAGCGCCCCTGCCTGGCCCAGTCCGGCCGCCCGGTGGGCGGGGGCGTTGGCGGGCTGGATCCCCGCTGGCTTCTGCTGCTGCTCGCTGTCATGGCTCGCTTCTTACATTACCCTCCCAGTCTCCCCCCCCCCCCCCCCCCCCCCCCCCCCCCCCCCGCTTCCCCCCGCTCCCTCGAGTTCCGCAGTACGGGTCGGCCAGTCACATGGAACGGCTGACGTAACAAGGAGGCGAGGGCCAAAGCGAGTTTGGGTCAGGTCGGCCAAACGAAGCGGCGGCCAACGTACCGTCTGCGTGCCGGGGCATTTCCTTCCGGAAGGACAA